CTTTCCCTAAAAAACATATCACAGAAGGATGGTCATGCCCTTCTAATGGCATATTTTCTCCCAGTCCTACCCCCTCCCCTAGATAAAGAGACAGAAAATGCTTATTTATTTAGTACATATATGTTTACATCATGATTAATTACTGGATAGATATTTTATGTGGAGGAGTTTGTAATAAAGTGTAGTAACACATCAGGTCAATTCCATGGATTCCAATCAAGAGGTTATTTTTATTATAGATGATCCCTCTCCTGGCCCCTCCCCGCTCCCACCTGCCCCATTATCGTTTACCTGACTTTCCATTTTGTCCTCACTGGCAGAAAAGGTGAAAGTCTGCATGACATTTGATCCCGCTCTCAAGAATTCCATGTGAAGCTGACGAACTACAAAGGAGTTGTTTTCTCCATTGAAATTAAAAAAGTAAAAATCACAGAAGCTATCATTTTCAGCGGCAGCTCATCTACTCACATCTCTTTCAGTCATACATGATTTCAAACCTGGTACTTATAAGGAAATTCAGATTCAGGTCAGCAGAATTTAGGGGCAAGGCAGAGTCCATACCAAATGGGGGCTGTTTAGAGTAGCCTCACGTTGACCTGCCAGTGGGCCCCATGGCCTGGTGCAGTCACATGCAGACACTAAGGCCCAGTTGGCCAACTCTCCCTTGGTCTCTTGGTCTAGAGAGGGTTTATTCATTTGCCGGTGTCATGAAGGATGTAGCTCTTCTACTTACGGTCAGCACTGGGGAGCTCTCAAAGTAGGATGAGGGAATTCTCACAGTGGGCAGAATGCATATGGGTGGCACCCCTATCAAGTGTATTCAATAGCAAGCAGCTGGGGAAACGTAGTCAGGGAGCCTTCCTTGGCCCATCAGAAACTCCCTCCTCTCTCTCCCTTCACCTCCTCCCCAGCTCAGTCTTTATCCTTTGCTATTTCAACACTTTCTTCCTGGTTGAGCAAAGAAGATTTTCTAAAATTAAGAATGAGTTCTTCTTGGGTCAGATGAAATCTTCCTGCTAACACCAGAAAGACAAAACTCTGTCCTACCATATAACTCTGGGTGTCTGATGAAACAGTAATCACGGCCATTGGGTACTTATATGGGCATTTCATGTGGGTTAATTCACAAGTCCTCACAACCAGCCCATGTCATGCCCCCGTGTGACAGATGAAGAAACTGATCCTCAGAGGTCAAATGACTTGTTCAAGGTCACTCAGCTGGTCAGTAGAAGGACCTAGACATGACCCCATGTTTGTCTGATACACTGTGTATATATGAATAAAATCAGAGTGAATCAAAAATTCCATTCCCAGCTTGTATCCCGTTTCAACCATATCTTCTTTGGCTTTATTTCCCACTTTCATTTAGAACAGCAAATCTATATTTGCTATATATATCTATATTTGCTATATATATATTTGCAAATCTGTATTTGCTATTTGTCTATATTCTGTTAAGCCGGTGGTTACCATTAATTGTCCCTACCAAATGTACTGTTTTAATATCGTATGTAAATTAGCCAGAGGGATGAATCTGAAGCAATAACAGTTTTACTATGCTAAGGAAACTCTTGAATATACAAGGTAAATATTCATGGAACAAATATTGGTATGTATATTTTCACACTCCCTGAATATGAAGATGCAAGTGTGTGTGTGTGTGTGTGTGTGTGTGTGTAGAGGAGGGAGGGAAGGAGAGAGAAGCCCTTTGTACAGCTCGTGTACTGCCACTGTCTCCACATCTTGGCAGTTTGGGCAAGTGAAACAGTCCCTAGAAAATGCTCGCGGAACTTCCCTGGTGGCGCAGTGGTTAAGAATCCATCTGCCAATGCAGGGGTCACGGGTTCAATCCCTGGTCTGGGAGGATCCCACATGCCGAGGAGCAACGAAGCCCATGAGCCACAACTACTGAGACCACGAGCCACAGCTACTGAGCCCGCATGCCACAACTACTGAAGCCTGCACACCTAGAGCCTGTGCTCTGCAACAAGAGAAGCCACCACAATGAGAAGCCCACGCACCACAACAAAGAGTAGCCCCCGCTCGCCGCAACTAGAGAAAGCCCGCACGCAGCAACGAAGACCCAGTGCAGACAAAAATAAATAAATAACTAAAATAAATAAATTTATTTTAAAAAGAAGGAAAATGCTCGCTTTTATTTATCTTCTCTCAGTCAGATTTAAGCAAAATGTCACCCAGATAAACACTCAGGGGTGATGCTGGCACCGACCTGCATTTGGATGTTCTACTACGGCTTCTGAAGTCCAGAGCCCGGCCTTCACGTAGCCCCTCTTCTCCAGAGTTATGAGAAAGCTGCCGTCTCCAACCACAACCTCCCCACTATCCAGACGTTCCAAAATGCCCTGAAGAAGAGAAAGAAAAATCACCTAAGACCCCTCTTTTTTTTTTTCCTAAAAGCAGTTTCTAATTTTAGGAAAGGTGGTACAATGCTCTCACAGCTCCAGTTCTGTTGAAATCATCCGTGCCTAATAGTATTTCAGAAAGATTGAGAATACTCTATTATTAGACAATCCAGGTACTTGTTTTGTGCAAAGTTCTGTGACTATTTTTTCTCAAATACAATTTAATCTGAGTCAAATTGTAGTTAAAGTGCTGATTCCATAATGGTTATTTTGGTTTTTCAAGATGTTTGTGGCAGACATTGCTAGTCACCTAATGTGCATTTTTTCTCCTCTTCTTTGCTAATATATTTTGTTTGGGGAGACAATGTCCCCAACTTAAAAAAAAAAAAATCCTCAGGCTCCTTTGTTGAGTGGGGTGGCCATGTGACACAGTGGTGGCCAATGGGAAATAAGTGAAAGTCTGCTGAAGATTTCTAGAAAAGTTTTGCTTTCCTGATACAGATGCCCACTCCCTTCCCTCTTGTCCCTTTTTCTCTGTCCTGTCTGGAATGTCAACTTAAGCCCTGGAGGTATAGCCATCATCTTGCAGCCATGCCACTGAAAGCCACACGCAGGCTGATAACCGCAGCCTGGTGTCTTAATGACATCTTGGAGTAGCTGCAGAGGCCGTGGACGGTGACCGTCGGCTAGACCTCTCATTAGGTGAGAAAAATAAAGCTCTTTGGTGTGTGAACCACTGGACATAATCCTATTGGACACAACATTTTATAATTATACCCTACATTTTCCAGCATGTTCATGGACACATTATCATTTGGTACTCTTAACAACTTTGGGAGCTAGGCAAGGCGGATAGTTTTTATTCCCACTTTATAGATGAGGAAACTGAGGTTCAGAGAGGCTAAGTGACTTGCTCAAGATCACAGAGCTCAGTAAGTGAAAAAGCAGACATCAGACCTTCTAAATTCCTAACCTAGTCTCTACTTACCACCTTTCGAGTCAGCCCACCCATAATCTGAATATAAGGTGGCATCCAGAGCAGTTATCCAAAGCTATGGTTTCCATTGTCTACAAAGTGCTTCCCCAGGTACCTGAATGGCTCGCCCTCTGATTTTCTTCAGGTCTTTGGTCAAGTGTCATTTTGTCAGAGAGAACTTCCCTGCGATTTATAAAAACTGCGAACACCCCCATGGGGATCCCTATCCCTCTTGTATAGACTGCATTCATTGAAGATACAGCCTTTTGTTGAAAATACCAGCCAGTTCCTCTCAGCCCTGCCTACAGCTGGACACAGAGCAGTGCATGAATGGGGGAGGAAAGGCTCCCGCTGCCCCTTCTAACCAGTCATATCTGCAGCCCAGGAAGGTACATTGGAAGCGGTTGCCCTGAGGCTAAGTACCAGGCCACTATCTCCACCACATCTCCATTTTCCTGTGGAGGGAAGTGGAATGGAGCCCAGCTCTGTTAACCATAAACACTATTTTGACAGAGAGAGCTCCTGACTCTGGTTATTTTTCCATGCTTCATATCTAAAGATGAATTTTAGCTGAATGTAGAAGAAATGTTAATGTATTCTATGGTTCTCACCCTCTCTCCTTACTCCCTCCATAAAATGAAATTTGCTCTTTTCATTTTGGACTTTCAAAATAGGAAAATGACTTAAACTTTCAGCTTTCAATGAGACCTTCCCACATGCCAGGTCCAGTTCTAGGCAGGAGGGGTAAACGCTGGAATAAGACATGGTCCTTGCCCTCAAGAAGCTCCAAGTCTGGCTACCTTGGGGAAGGCCATTAAGTCAACAGATTATCACAGCACAGTGTAATAAATAAATGTTGCAGAGGGACATAGAAGAGAGAATCAGAGGTATCGTCATCTTTCTAAAATTGCATCTTGAAAATCTAACACATTTCAATGAAGTTAACCAGGTTAACCTCATCAGATTTAATACTACACATCAGACGATTCTAGAGGGGAAAAATATTAACACACAATTTGGTTGTTATAGGTTAGTCTCTTACCTCCCACCTCCAATCTGTCATAGGGTTACACCAAGCATATCTATTCAACACATCTCACATATGTCCCCCCATCCTCACTGCCGCTGGGCTATTGAAATGGTCTCCAATTCACTGCAGCCCACTCTAAACTATCTTCCATTGCTGTCAGAGCAAAGCTTTGCCTGACCTACTCTTATTCGTGATTACGTCCTCCTTTGTCTCCTGCTTAAGTTCATACATCCTCTATTCCTGCATCTATCACCTGTGCTGCAGTATCTGGTTACTTTCCTGTCACCTCTGTTTGGCTGTAAGATGCTTGAGGCTCTGTCACCTCATACAGCACCTAACAAAGAGTAGGCCCTTAATAAAATATGCCAAGAGTTAACAGACAGACAGGACTGTTTTGAAAACGGCACATACCTCACATATGCTATAAGCTTGGTCCTGACAAGGAGGAAAAAGATGATACTCTTTAACAGAAAATTAGCTAGGATTTTAAGAAAATGACAGTGCAAATTTTGACTGTTGCCTTCATGATACCAAGTAAATGTAAGGCATTTTGATCTGTTATCTGGATGTTTGTCCAACATTTAAAATTTTGCCAGTTTTCTAAACAGCCATTAGCAAAATAACTAAATTATCAATATTTGAATTCAGAGCATCTTTTAGCCCCTCCTTCACCCCAAGACTTACCACCTCAGTTAACTGCTACACCTGTATGATCTAAAGCCAGCTCTAGAATGACAGGACTGTGTAAAATAAAGAGCACTGTAAATTATTTGCAGTATATTTATATTTTCATTCCATCTTCCCTTTCAGTGTGGCAGTGACTCTGCCTTGGATCTGATGGTGATCTCTGAGAGGCATTTATGCCCTCTTTTTGCAGATAACAGTATCTAGACCTCTTGGATTTAAGATCTGGCTTCAGGGCACCTCTATTCATACACAGAGGAGTAGACCAACTTCACCCTATGGCAGGAAGCTGCCAGAGGTCCATCTGCCTGAAATTGCCACCAGGACTGCTCTTTTGGATTAAAGAAGCAATTGGAGGTGTCCTCTGTAGCAGTTAAATGAATTCTTAAAATGCACCTGTTAGCTGAGCAGAGAGGTGAGGTTAGCTCTGCCCCACTAACATTTTAACTCCCAGGTACACATTAACATGGATTCTCATATGATAATCTTGGTGTTGCAAAGAGCAGAGGCCAGGAAAAATAGAACAGGGACAGCATATTTTTAAAAAACCTTAAAAAAAAATGAACTGTAAAAGTGAACATAGTATTAGAGAAAGTTCAGAGAAAGAAGTCAGCACAATGTTCTTTGCTTCTTTTTCTTTTTATCATGCTCATTTGCTTCAATGCCCATGTTTTACCTTTATAATCAGAAAAACATAACCAGAATGTTTTTTTGTTAAGTTTTTTAAACCTATATTCCACATCTTATGTAACTACTACCATTCCTTACAGTGTGTGTATAAATATTTTTATGTAGTTGGGATCAGTCTGTGATATATCTCCTTTTGTAACTTAACATTGCAAAGCACTTTGCCTGTTCCCATACTTAGCTTTTTAATTGGCTGCCTAATAACTTATTAAGTGGATGCACTTTATTTACGGAGCCCACTGTTGCAGGGCACCTTGGTTGTTCCTACCTTCTTAGTATTACTAAATAAAACGGTGGTGCACATCCCCCCTTCCTTCCCCACCCTCTCTTCTGAATTAGGGAGCACAGATGGGTTGCCTCGAGGAGTTTGGAGATGTCCCGCGTCCAAGTTCATGCCCTTTTCCTAATTTTGTTTTGTCACCCCTTCTCCCCACCACACACACATCCAGCGTAAAAATGGGAGAACAGGGCGACAGCTGGCGAGCAGATCGGGAAAGGGGAGCCGGGAGACCCAGACTGCGGCGTGAGATGAGGCGGAGGCCCCACCCCCGGCTCCGCGCACCCGACCCTCCATCCCCGCCGTGGGTCTAGGGGTGTCCATGCCCGGGACCGGTTTCAGGCCAGTCCGAGGCTTGGGAGACCAGGCAACGGCCCTTCCCAAACACACGAGGGGCACGAGCACTGGGGCCATTGAGTCGAAGAGCTGTAGGTGCGGGCGGGCGGAAGGCAGGAAATGTGAGCGCGGCCTGAGTCCGAAGGCTAGACTTCAAACCCCTGCTCCACCTGTACTAGATCGGTGACCCTGAGCTAGCTGACGAACTCTGAGCCTCAGTTTCCTCACCTGTAAAATGGGAATAAACGTGAAGAGGAGATAATTTGCATGAAGCACTCGCGCAGTGCAGGGCAGCGAGTCAAGACTCCATAAATGCTACCCAATATTGTTATCTCATCCTGACACCTAGGCAGTACCGTCGTCCAGGCGATTCGCGAGCGGGTAAACCGAGGCTCAGAGCCGTCCAGGTGCCTCGCCCAGACCGCAGAGCTTGATTAGGGGCTGAAGTGAAGCCCCGCAGCCAGGAGGGCTGGGTACCTCCCAAGTTTCCCGAAACTCACCTTCTTGGCTCCAGGGCTTCCGGCCAGCGCCATCGCTCGGCTGCTGTGGCGGGCGCTGAGTGGCGGGCAGCGCACGGAGCCAGAAGCCCGCCCCTCTCCGGGGGCAGGGTCCCACCGCCTCCCGCCGGCCCCACCGCCTCCCGCCGGCCCCGCCGCCCCTGCTGTCTGCTGGTTTGGGAGTAGGTGCCTGCGCCCTCGCCCTATGGCCTCGACCTCGCCATGTTCCGCCCGGGCGCGCTGCGGCTGCGGGGTTTCCCGCTGCGGGGCTCCCGCGGCCGCTTACTCTCAGTCTGCGGCCGCGAAGGGTGAGTGGGGCCGGGTCTGCGCGGAGGCCCGCGGCTGGGCAGCTGCGGGGTGCGAGCGCAGGGCTGAGGCTGAGAAGTGGGCATTCGGCTTTCTTCTCGAATTATGTGTGTTCTTTTTCACGCACAACCGTTCAAAGTGAGAATATCAAAGGGTTCCTGGTGCAAAGACTCTCCTATCCCCATTGCCTTCTCCAGTCAACGGTTAGCCGTGTCTTCTGTATGGGGAGGCAAACGCAGGTGTATCTTTGACTTACTTATACCTTGCTTTTTACAGTGCGTATTGGAGAAGCTCATGATCTAGCTAGGAAGACAGACGTGCAAATCAATATATCAAGCCACCGAGCAATATTCATAATTAGAGAAGCAGGTACACGGTGAGAGGACGTTTAGCAAAGAAGAGAGTTGTACTCCATCTGGCTCCCTTTAGCCTGGAAAACACTGGAGGGAGGAGGTGATCCAAGATTTATAGATAATGGACTTCATGATTATTATGGGTTTTTTTATGGAATAAAATGTTTATCAGTGTGTTTTTAAAGTAGACTGAGAAAAATTATTCTCTAGATTTCTTTGAGAAAAAGAAGTCATCTGTTCAATTCTTTAGCTCTATTAAGTATCTACAATGGGTCAGAATTAGGGGAATGGGGTTCAAATGCCTCCTCCTCCCTCCCCCAACCAGGTTGCCTAAGTCAGGTTGAGGCTCCCAAATGATTGTCAGCACATGTAACTCTCCCAGGCACTAGATGTTAAGGAGTAGAAGAATAAGTAAGGAGAATCACACTAGTCAGAAAAAAAAAAACCCAAAACTATAACTATCATAGCCTAGTAAAGCTACTATTAAAAAAAATGTCTTCCAGAGAAGAAAACCCACCCTTACCTGCAGAAAGAAGATGGAAAGACAGGGCAGAAACAGTGATAATTGGAGGTGGCTGCGTTGGTGTGAGTCTGGCTTATCACTTGGCCAAAGCAGGCATGAAAGATGTGGTCCTCCTGGAGAAATCGGAGCTCACTGCTGGATCTACCTGGCACGCAGTAAGAACACTATCTCAACACCGTCATATGCACTGAATTGTCACTTGTGCAATTGATTTTTTTTCCCATTCACAGCTCCCCACTCAGAGCTCTTTAGAGCAAGTTCCCTTTCCATAGCGTTGGAAGGTACAATTGCAGTTTAGTTGGTATACTTTAAGTGGGTGATCAACATTTATGATGTTGATAATCATGAGAAGTTAATCTTGAACATATGACTCTGGATTCAAATCCTGACTCTATCATTTTCTACTTATGTGACTTCTGGCAACTTACTTAAGTTTCTAGTTCCTGATGTGTAAAATGGGAATATTAATAGTACCTACCTAATAGGGTTGTGATGAAGATTGAATTAATATGTGTAAAGTTATTATGGTAAGTGGTTAGTAAATGTTAGCTTTTGTACCAAAGGATAGTGGCTGGGTGATCCTGAATACAGGCCTGAGACCTTTACCTATGTCCCCTCACCTGGCTTTAGTGATCCTTTTATGTTTATTGATTTATAATTTTAAGTTAGTGCTGTGAGACAGCAGCTTGGCTTCATGAGGACTTAACTATGAGGGCTGAGAACGTGCAACACAGCTTTCGTGTTGTGTTAAATGAAACACACGACCAAGTCAATCTCGCCTATTTAATGGTATGCATAATTGTTCCAGTGCTGTATAATAATTGGGCTTACATCGAAAGCTGCTCAGGTAAATGAGGTGATTGACACTGCTTTCATACTGCCAAACCAATTATTTCTGAAGTCAGCTAAGATGGGAGAGGAAGATTTTATGACTGCAGGTGCCATTTTTGTTTGGAGGAAGAGTTGGGATGAACAACGAGGTCCTACAGTATAGCACAGGGAACTATATCCAGTATCCTGTAATAAACCATAATGGAAAAGAATATGAAAAAGAATATATATATATGTATAACAATCATTTTGCTGTATACCAGAAACTAACATAACATTGTAAATCAACTATACATCAATTTAAAAAAAACGTTGGGCAGTGTTAGCTTCTGCTCGTCATCCCTTTCCATCATTAGCTTTCCCCTACTGAGACAAGAGGGAACCCTGCTTTTAGGGGCCTTTTGACACCCAGAACCTGCTCACGGTAAGGGATAGAGTTGGATCTCCTGCCTCCAGCTGAGTTTCGGGGAGATTGATGCCCAGACTTAAGCCCAGTTCACCCCAGAGTCCCTGTGGTCACATAGTCAGACCACACCCACCAATTGGATGGAGACTTCTAGAAAAACGGCATCAAGCCCTGCTTCTCTTCTTTCTTCTCCTGCCAGCCCTCTCACTTCTCAGTCTGGGAGGGAGGCCCAGCTACCTGGTCGTCCCTGAGTGTCTCTTCTGAGTCTCCATAGGCACATTTGTCTCTTGTGTCAGCAGTTCTCCCTCAGCTTGCTTCCTGCTACCTGGAGAGAGGGGCCCAGGAAGCCACTGACCCTTCTGGCTCTTTTCCTCTCCCTGAACTAGACTTTCTATGCAGATTTCCTTTTATCATGGAATAGAAAGCCTGCATTTCTGCCACAGCTCTCCTATGACTTCTTTTTAGTGCACGTTCGGTCAGTCTTTCAACAAATATTTATGAAGAGCCTATATTGTGTCAGGCCAGCACTGTTCTAGGAGGTGAGGACACAGCAGTGGGCAAAACAAAGCCCCTGCCCTCATGGAGCCACATTCTGGTGGGGCAGATGGAAAAAACACAAATGATGCTCTAGAGTAATCGGTACCAGCAGAGTAGAGCGGGGTAAAGGGATGAAGAATGATGGGTGTGGAGGAGCCTGGAGGCTACTTCGAAAAGGTGATACTTGAGCAGAGACTGGGCAGAGGGAGCAAGGGGGCCATGCTCCAGGTAAGAGCATGTAAGCAGAGGGAAATTTTGGCAAATGGAAATATCCTGAGAGGGAGGGCTTACACCCTTTTAACACTTCGGGATTGTTAAGGAGGGTGTACACTTTAATATTTTAATTACTTTTTTGTTCATTTATTGTGGATTGACTTGATGTAACCTGCAATTTAGTTACTGGAATAACTAGAATCCCTGAATATTACTTCTTAAACATCCCATGAATAATAATAATAACAATAAAGCAACATATCCTTAGCCTAAGATCTTTTAAGAAAAGTGGGCAAAGTTTTTAAGATGATGGCTTCTTCTTAAAAGTTAACTGTGCAAAATAATTTCCCCTTAAGCAGAGAGATACCAGAATGAGTGGAAAAGGCATTTTTCTGCTTTGTGAAAAAAGTAGTAGGCTCTGGTTCACAAAATAAGATTCATGCAGGGTGAGCTCAAGATGGACTCAGGCATCAGAAGCCAGGTTATTTGGGCCCCTACAAATTAAGGAAAAGAAAACTGGATTGCCCTAGGAAGCTGATTAGAGGATTTCTTGTAAACAAGGGGGTCTCCCACCAAAGAGCATCCTGAAGAAATGCCACAGATTAGAATTTTTTGAGATATAATTGACATAATAGTTTCAGGTGTAGAACATAATGATTTGATATTTGTATATATTGCAAAAGGATCACAGTAAATCTGGTTAACATCCATTACCACACGTAGATACAAAATTTTTTTCTTGTGATGCGAACTTTTAAGATGTACTGTCTTAGCGACTTTCAAATATACAATTCAATATTGTTAACTGTAGTCACCATGCTGTACGTTCCATCCCCAGGACTTCTTTATCTTATAACTGGAAGTTTGTGCCTTTCGACCCCCTCCACCCATTTCACCCCCTCACCACCCCTGCCTCTAGCAACCATCGAGCTGTTCTCTGTATCCCTGAGTTCCATTGTTTTGTTTGTTTGTTTTTATATTCCTCATGTAAATGAGATCATATGGTATTTGGTATTTATATTTCTTTGTCTTGTTTTATTTAGCATAATGCTGTCAAATTCCATCCATGTTGTTGCAAATGACAGAATGTCCTTCTTTTTTATGGCTGAGTAATATTCCACTATTATATATATGCCACATTTTCTTTATCCATTCATTTTTTAACACAGAGAAATTTTGGAGCACATATGAGAATGTGGACGTTTTGGGGGGCTAGCTGAAGGGGCAGACTACAAAAATAAAGGCAGTCTCACTGAAGAATAACATGTGCTCAAGGCTAAACATTTCTGGGACATGCAGGAATCAGATGCACTGGGGAGGAGGGCACAGCTTGCAATGTGAATATTCAAAATGGAATCACAAATCCAACAGTCTTGAGGTTTTGCTGGATTTTAACGAGACTGTTTTGTCAGCACCCAATAATACTGCTAATATAGAACATTTCTTGTAGGATAGAAGGAAAGGGGAGAGAATGGACAAAGAAGCAGTTTCGGCATATGGGGTCCCCAGGAGAGGCTGCCCCTGGGAATGGTGTCAAAGTGGTTGTTTTGGAGGGCTGAGGACTAAACATGCAAGATTATCCATTTGGGGTGTAGGAAGATAATGTTAGATCTTTCTGTTTATTTTTTTTATTAATTTTTTTTTTTTGCGGTACGCGGGCCTCTCACTGTTGTGGCCTCTCCCTTTGCGGAGCACAGGCTCCGGACATGCAGGCTCAGCGGCCATGGCTCACGGGCCCAGCCGCTCCACAGCATGTGAGATCTTCCCAGACCGGGGCACGAACCCGTGTCCCCTGCATCGGCAGGCAGACTCTCAACCACTGCGCCACCAGGGAAGCCCTCTGTTTATTTTTATCTAAAAATATAAG